GGTGGGAAACCACCCCTTGAATTATAACAAATGGGCGGATAAACATTCGGTCACAAATTCCCTGACCCAACTGCTGGGGCAGACATTACGCCCGTAGATATCGTGGACATCTCATGGCTGCCTTCTGGACCTTATATGAGACGTATGGTTATTAACTTTAGATCTGCCCATTTCGTTGCAAAGATTCTAAAATTAAGAAACCGCACAAGAAAATGGTACATCTATTTTACAAGGGTATTCACCAATCTGACCCGTACACCGCTATGCACCAGGATAGGTGCTGTCGGTGTTGATGCTGGGCCTGTGCGCCATAAAGAACAAATAGATGGAGCCGGGATCTATTACCCCACAGGGAGTGGCAAGCCTGCCCGCAAATGACTTAATTGATTTCCTACATCCCCCGCTTGGTACCCTGGTCTCTACGTGCAACGAGCCTGGCATTGGACTACCCAAGCAAGACCAGTCTGAAATGCTCTCGTCCTCATATGCCTCGATGCCGGAATTGGAGGCTTCCATTATTCTAAGCCCAATACGCAATCAAGATCCACAGCTTTTGTCAAATTTTGACCCGCTAGCAGTACCGACGCAAGATGCAGTTGTCGACCTGCTACCTATACAGCCTATACGGGTCGGCAAAATCCTTGCTCTGCGAAAACCAGCTGAACATCATGATACATCAGCTGAACAACATGATATTTGTAACGGTGTCATCGAAGATCCTCTGGGCCAAATCAACCTATTGGCCCCTCAGTTAAAGTTATCATACCTATCTAGGGACCAGCGATCTCAAACCCGGAACCACCAAGCAGGGCAGATAGAGGAGGAGCCCAGCTCAGGAGCCTCAAACCATCGGAAAAGAGATTGACTGCCACTATTTCCACCATCACCCTATTTCCACATTCTATCCTGGAATGTGGCGGGATGGCTATCTAAGCAGGGTGACGTCGACCTTCTGGATTTCCTTACAAAATTTCAGATTTTATGTCTACAGGAGACATGGTGTCTAGATCTCCATGTCCCCTCTTTACAGGGATACTGAAGCCTTTGCTACCCCTGCGATAAAACCAAAATCCCGAGGCCGACCTAGTGGTGGTTTAGTCACTTTTGTTTCTACCAAGCTAAAATGCAAGGCCCGGCAACAGCAGTGGGTGAAGAGTAACAATTTACAAATCTTACTTATTTCTAGCAGTGAAGGAGGAGATTTCCTTTGCTTTAATATATATATCCCTCCCATAGGCACCCCTCCCCAGTCGTCACAATTCTGGGAAGATTTAGAGCTATGTTTGGAGAAGGCTGAACTAGAATTCCCTGGCATGGATATCCTGCTGGCAGGTGATTTCAACGCCAGGATAGGAAATGACATTAATACGTACTGCTCTAAATCTCAGTTCCTGCCAGAGGCAGATTGGTTTATTCCCTGGTCCTCAGACGATAAGGTCTTGAATAAGGCAGGCATTACATTAATGGAGACTGCCTTCAAACATAATTTGTATAATTTGCATGGTACCCATATGGACAGGTCAGGGGGTTTCTTTTCTTTTCTTGGACCCAGAGGTGCGAGCGTTATTGATTATATCCTGGTCTCCCCAAAACTCTTGGAGAGGTCACAGGGCTTCAGGACTTTCAATAGAATTGAGAGTGATCATCTTCCTATATCAATTTCACTAATTCCCCGTGGTGTGGAGGATCCGCAATACCGCAATCACTGTGCAGACCCACCTCCAACTCTGGCCCTTCGTAGGCGTAAATGGAACAGCGACCTGGAATCTAAAATCAAATTACACCTGCATTCATCAGACTTACTGGCCTTGAGAGACCAGTGCATCTCATCCATTTCTGACCCCTTTTCAACATTTCAGCAGGTCTCAGAGTCGCTCTTCCCACTACTCACGAATTCCAACCCTCCCAAAAAACAAAACAACTCGAGGGCCTGGTTCGACAAAGACTGTAGGAATCTAAGATCTTTGCTCAGGAAACTACAAAATAAGGTAAAACAGGAAGGGACCTTGTCCTCATTGGAAAACCTGCACAGGTGGCGTTCTCATTATAAAAATACTCTAAAATTTAAGAAATCCCTCTACAGAAAGGAACAATGGGAGGCACTTGACAAAGCGATCAAATTGCGGGATGACAAAAAGTTCTGGGAAATAATTGCCCAGGGAGTTTCACCCAAAGGGAAAATTGTAACCAACAGTATCTCATCTAACTTATGGTACCAACACTTTTCCCGGCTATATACAGCTCCAAACATTGCTAAACCGAGCCAGTTTCCTCCTCTTAAAAACGATCTATTAATGGGCTGGGATCCTGTTACCGAATCAGAATGTTTACAGCTAATTAAAACACTCAAGAATGGCAAAGCTCCCGGTGAGGATATGATTCCTCCTGAGGTATTTAAACTAAATGCCCAGTGGTGGGCTGCTATTTTGGCCCAACTTTTACGGTAATAAATGATATATGCAAAATCCCAGAAAACTGGAAACTGAGCCTGGTAGCCCCCATCTATAAGAAGGGAGACCCCAAGACCCCTCAAACTATCGCCCCATAAGTCTCCTGGACATTGTGTATAAACTTTACACTCGCTACCTGCTAAATAAACTGGTTGACTGGGCTGACCACTCTAACCTGCTTAATCCGGAACAGGCAGGGTTTAGAAAGGGCCATAGTACAACAGGCCATTGTTTGGTACTACAGACAATGATAGATAAGTATACAAAGGTACATAAGAGCAAACTTTTTGTGGCTTTCGTAGATCTCACATCCGCTTTTGATTCAATCTGTAGGGACAAATTATGGCAAAAATTATATGAAACAGATATTGATAGACGACTTCTCAAAATACTTAGAGAGTTACATTCAGACACCACAGTTAAAATCAGAACTGGGATGTCAGGCAACTATACTGATCCACTGCCACTGGGGAAAGGGGTTAAACAGGGCTGTTTGTTAGCGCCGTTCCTCTTTAATTTCTATATAAATGACATTGTTCAACATATGGCAAAGTATAAGTCATCAGCTCCTGCCCTGGAAGGCAAACACCTGAATATATTACTATATGCTGATGACATGGCTGTCATGGCACTTACTCGAAGGGGCCTACATAGCATGCTGGAGGGGCTCGCAGCTTATTGTTCCCAAAACTCTCTAAAGATAAATTATGACAAAACAAAAATTGTGGTATTTACTAGAGCTCGCCACACATTTAGATGGTCTTTAGATGAACACAAAATTGAACAGTGTCTTTTTTTAAATATCTTGGTATCACTTTCCAAGCTACATCTAGCTGGCTTGCCCACTTCAAGACTGTAGCCCTTCTAACACGTAGGACAATCGGTGCCCTGCTCAGCTTTTTTTATTCGAGGGGAGGGCAACTGGTGATCCCGGCATTAAAAGCTTTTGTTGGAAAAGTGATTCCCCAGATGCTATATGGAGTAGAACTCTGGGGATGGAATCAGAAGCTGTTAGAACGGCTTGAAATCTTCCAAAATTTTTACCTCAGAAGAATTCTAGGCCTCCCTCAGAGTACTCCGGCAGCTCTCCTAAGAGTGGAAGTAGGATTACCTTCTGTGTCTGCCAGGGCCCACTTAAGATTCCTGCGTTTTTCACCAACCTCACAGATGCCCCGAACACCTTATTGGCTAAACAAGCCTTTGTATTATTACAAAATAATACTACTTGGCATAAAAACCTACTAGATATCCTATCCAGATACAATCTACCTGAGTTTAATACCCTTAAATTGTGGAGCCCTGATAAAGTTCGGGAATGGATCTTTGAAAAGACGCCTTTTGGACTCCACAAAGATAAAAAACTCTGGGTTTTCCTACTGGTTTCCCCGAGTAAAAGCAGTCAAAATCTGTGCCAACTACTTGGTGGAGATCACTGACCCCACCCTTCGGAGAGCTTTCACTATGGCACGGTTTCAAACACTGCCAACTGCATATCTGACCGGTAGATTCACAAAAACCCCAGTAGAACATCGTTTATGCCCTTGCCTTATGAAAATTAAAGAGGATCTTACACATTACCTCCTCTATTGCCCCATCTACTCGAGCTTTAGAGACGCATTGCTGCAAATTATACCCAACTCTATAACCAATCCTGAAGATAGAGTAAAATTTTTGTTAGTTGATGCAAACCCACGTATTACCCATGTGGTAGCGGTTTTTGTGATAAAGGCCATGAAAGCCAGGGAAAGACTTATGGATGACAATGTAAAGACCCCTTCATCGTCTGTTTAACTCGTTGCTCGTTTTCCCTCTCTTTCTATTTTGTGGGATGAAGGTTTTGTTGGCGTAGTATGTAATGAATTTTAATATCTTTTAACTATTGTTGTGTTAATGTTTGTGTACAGGCATGGTCCTCACAATAAACGGA